TTTGTATGTATGCATGTGTTTGTGTCTATCTGTATGTATGTGTGCAGTCTGTATGTATGTGTCTTTGTGTGTATGTCTATATGCATGTGTGTCTGTCTGTATGTATGTGTGCCCGTCTCTCTGTTTGTATGTATGTCTTGTCTGTATGTATGTGTGCCTGTTTGTATGTGTCTTTGTATGTATGTTTGTCGTGTGTATGTGTAACTGTCTGTCTGTGTGCCTGTCTGTCTGTTTGTATGTGTGTCTTGTCTGTCTGTATGTGTGCCTGTCTGTTTGTATGTATGTGTCGTGTGTGTATGTATGTGTCTCTATGTATCTGGTCTGTGTGTGTCTCTGTATGTATGTGTGTGTGTCTGTCGGGGGGAAGTTAGAGGGGGGATGAAGGAGGGAGCCCCTCGGATCAGTTTCGCACCGGGGCCCCATGGGTTGTGTGTACGCCACTTTCAATAAAGCATACGAGCTGAGCGATAAAATGGGGTGATATGGGGCCATCCAGCAGAACAACAACAGCTCAATGTTCAGTTGATAGCGAGCAGATGGAAAATGCAAATCATCAGAAAACGACTATCACAGATCTAGCCTGAGCACCAGTTTGGTAATTTATACATGGCAAGGGTTGGTATTACAGGCAATCCCCTTATATTACAATTGCGCCGTTTTTTTTTTTATGTGCCGGTGTATGTCAAGGTGTGTATATATGTGCTTGACACACACATCTTAACTCACAAATACACACACACTCAGATACACACACTTGCACCCACAGATACACACACACAGGCACATACAAACACACTGATACATACTGGCACATACACAAACACACTTAGATACACAAAGTGACACATACACAACCCTTGACACACAGATACACACACTCACACATACTCTTTGACAGACACACATACACTCTCACTGACAAACACACACACTCTTTTACAGACACACATATGCACTCTCATTGACAAGAACAGATGCATCCTCACTGATAAACACATACACTCTCACTGACAAGCACACATTCACTCTCACTGACACACATACAAACTCCCTAACAGGCACACATCCATTTTAAAAAAAAAAAAACATTTTACTCCACCCCTCCCCCACCTTTAGGAGTGCTGGCATGGAGTCACTGTGGTCCAGTGGGGCTGCTGGGCGGTTGGCATGGAGTCACTGTGGTCCAGTGGGGCTGCTGTCAAGCGGTCCCTGGGGTCCAGTGGGGAAGCTGGCATGCGGGCGATGAGGGAGCATTGATCTCCCTGCTCAGCTCCCTCGCGCGCCTCTTAGTGATGCCGGACCCGGAGTGACGTCATATTCCGGCTCCAGCATCACTGCTGTACGCGCGAGGGAGCTGACCAGTGAGATCAATGTTCACTCGCCACCCGCGGCCATTTTATTTTGAACTTTTTTGGTGGAACACCAATTGGGAAAAGCTGGCTTAATGGAATGGTTTTGGTGAACAGATCATGCCCCTGCAGTCTCACTGATCAATTATCTGCCATTTAGGAGTTAAATCACTATGTTTATGCAGCCCTAGTTAAACATTCGCTGCATGTGACCTACACAGTCTCCCTGCACATTTAGAGAGATCTAATGTTTAAAAGAACACCATAGGGTCAGGAACACAAACATGTATTCCTGACTCTATAGTGTTAAAAACCCCATCTAGTCCCCCTGACTTCCTCTTGTCCCGCTAAATATAGTAAAAGCTTACCTTTATTTCAGTTTATTGCTGCTGGCTCTGCCCTGATCTGCCTGCTTGGCAGGCATCATCAGAAGTGATTCTCTCAGCCAATCACAATGCTTTCCCATGGGAAAGCATTGGATTGACTAAGAGTATCAAGAAGGTAGATCAGGGGCAGAGCCAGCATAAGCCAAACACAGCCCTGGCCAATCATCATCTCCTCATAGAGCTGCATGGAATCAATGCATCTCTATGAGGAATGTTCAGTGTCGGCATGCGGAGCGTGGAGACACTGAATGGCTGCCCTAGGAAGCACATCTAGTAGCCATCTGAGGAGTGGCCAGTGGAGGTATCCCTAGGCTGTAATGTAAACACTGCATTGAACCAAAATATATATGGGAACTCATGAGTTTTTGTTGCAGTAAAAAGTTACAATTTATGCCATTTTACAAACAAGCAAAGTCAATGTTTTGTACATTCATAGGTCCTTTCTCAAGACTAATGCCATCCCCCATAACACACAATATATAAAACATTTATAATAAATTCAAAACCTGTTGCTAATTGATCTGAAATGTTTGTTGACTTTGCTTGTTTGTAAAATGAAATAATATTGAATGTTTACTGAAACAAGGAATTTCAATATATGGAGTGCAAGATTATTTTTGGTTTATGATATGTGTATGTGTGTGTATATATATATAGGTAAATAAAGATACTTGGCACTCGCCCTTAAAGTCTATGGTTATTCTCTGCCTTGGTGCAATCCTGTGTTAATGTATAAATTTGACAAAAAAGGGAGCACTCACAGGTCTTTTCCATGCAAAAAAAATGTTGTGGTTTATTTCAAAGTTTTACATCACAGTGATAATTGCTCGATCGACGGTTTATATAAGAAAATATAAAGTGTACTCACCAATAAAGTGTGCAGGTTCTCCCTCTTCGATCAGTGTACAACCCGGAAGTGCGCCCGTAAGGTCACGTTACGTAGGTAGTGTTAGAAAGCGTGGTTGCTTAGTAACCTGTGTATTTAGTGAATTGTGAGCCCAGACACACTGAAATCAGTGCTGAAACTTTATGTGGAAGAAATAAGCACGCGGTATTATCGATATCAAAATAGATATGCTATAGAGCTAACCAGAGGAGAACACATGAAGGGAAAAACCAAAAGTGGTGAAATATGCAAACTAACAAAGTGCATAAAAAAGCGTAGGAATACAAATATATGTAACAAACACAGTGAAAGAAGAATTAAAGTAAGATGTGTTCAGTGACTCTGGTTTAGCATACAAATAAAGTCATTATATACTATTGTGATTAAACAAATAGTTATAAAGATTTAGTGTTATAGATATCTTTTTGTCATATATATATAACGTATTTACTCAACTCTAACATGCATTTTTATTGGTAAAATAAAGTCTCCAAAATTTGATGGCGCATTAGATTTGAATACAAACAACACATTAGATACGACGGACATATGATGAGAATTCACCGAGGCAGAATTCGACTGAGACTTGGCTTCTGTGTGCAGTAAAGCTATACCTTGCATCTTTGTCGCAATGCGAATGCTAATCAACCTATATGTTGTATGGTAATATCATCTTACAAATGCGTGTTACATTTTCCAGTGAAAACATTTTTCAGGTTTCAAAATTTTAATGTGCATTAGATTTGATGCCGCTCCTTTGACGTCTACCGCTGGGGGGAACCCAATGCTTTTCTAATGGATTTTTCAACATGCTAGACAACCATATGCAAAGTGTGAGGATGTCCAGCATATTTTCACAGAGTCAAATTCCGTAAAACAGCAGGAAATGGCCTCTAGTATCTGTTTAGTAGACAGCCACTAGAGGCAGTCTTAGCACTGCAATGTAAACAATACAGTTTCTCTAAAACAGCAAGGTTAAAGGCACACTATAGTCACCAGAACAACTACAGCTTATTTAATTTGTTCTGGTGAGTAGAATCATCATTCAGGCTTTTTGCCGTAAACACTGTCTTTTCGTTTACATTACAACCTAGTGATAACTTCACTGGCCACTCCTCAGATGTCTGTTAGAGATCCTTCCTGGGTCATGGCTGCCTAAAATGCATCCAAACATTCAGTATCTCCTCCCTCTGCATGCAGACACTGAACTTTCCTCACAGAGATTAATTTATTAAATTCATCTCTATGAGGAGATGCTGATTGGCCAGGACTGTGTTTGACTCATGCTGGCTGTGACCCTGATCTGCCTCTTTGTCAGTCTCAGCCAATCCAATGGGGAAGCATTGTGATTGGATCAGACTACCACTTCTGATTATGTCAGCAGACTGTGTGTTTTTCTGAGGCAAACAGCATGCAGAGTTACAGCTTCTAGGTCTAGGAGGCATGAGGGGGCCAGGGGGGTTTAGATGGTGGTTTTAACACCATAAGGTCAGGAATCCATGTTTGTGTTCCTGACCCTATAGTGATCCTTTAAGGGAACAGGGACACTGCACACAGACCACTTTAATGAGCTGAAGTGTTATAGGATAAAATGTGGGATACATTCATAACAATCTCGAAATTACAAACTAGTTTAAGACAAAAAGCTACCAAACATGAAGTGATGGAATGTATTGCTAAACCTAGGAATATCGTAAACAAATATCTGGATTCTTGCCTTGGATTGTGATTGTCCCTGGATTGTGTTGAACTACTTTTTATTATCCAAGTTAGGAGACAGAGAGAGTTTAATGAATATCCCTGATCATATATTACAAGAAATAAGGCACAAGCTAAAACAATTCTAATTTAACATCCTACATTTTATTCTTGTGAAAACACTCACAATTCAGTTCCATGGATGTATTTAGTTTGTTTGAAAGTGCATATAAAGTAGTTGAAGTGTACTATAAAAGGCATGAAATAATATGTTTCTGCGTTAAAATAAATAAATAACATATCTTACAGGCAAATGAAATGTATTGTGGGGAAGCATCATACTTTCGGTGACGAGTGGACAGACAGATGTATGGACAGATGTTTTGCTAACACAGGTGCACATGGCACATTACATTTTGGTGTACATCCAGAGAATATTATTTAAATACACTCATTTAAAGCTAGATCCACAATACACATTATTCTAGTGATAACCAGGTGTATACAGAGATAGTCAACAGTTATGTGTTTTTTTTTTATTTCAACACATAACAAGCTAATTCAAACTCCAACAAAGTTCAAAGAAACCAAAACAGAGGACAAGCAAGGACAATGTGGCTCTACATTAGGATCTGCCTGGACACATCCCTAGACATGATATTCTACATAGATATTGTGTGGACAGACTTCTACATATTCATTTGTCCTCAGTGTGCTAGTAAACATAGTTACCATCATATCAATGTACAGAGCATGACCATTAGCCATATTCCTGCAGTAATATAGGATTCTATAGAATCTATTATCAGTCACCAAAAAAAAAATTGTGTTTTTATTGGTAGATTTTGCTCCATTTTAGCTAAACAATTTTACATTTATAGCATCCTCACTCATTGATGAACCAGTTACTAAGCCATAAATAACACTGCTTAACCTTCTAAGAACCACTCTATGGCATGCATTTGCGCACACGCACACACACACACACACACACATAAAAAAAATAATAATAAAATGCAATTTAATCTAAATCTTATGTATGTTTAAAAAAAAAAAATGCAATTGAATTTAAATTAATCTTGATATGTTTCTACGCTCTAAATAAAAACAAGGCTAGATGATGGCTTAATTAACCTCCGGAACCGAAAGGGTTACTTTACACGGAAGACGCCGCCCGTCTTCCAAAGCAACCTCACGCCCGCAGCCAGCCTGGCCTGCCCACATCGCTCACTATTTGGCAGGAAGTTGAGAGAGGACAATGGGCATGCGCGTTTTGGCTCATAACGAATGTTTCTTAAAGCGGTAGCGCCAAGATTCTAACAATGGAATACTCATTGTAGCAAATGTTCTCATTATTATTATTATTATTATAATCGCGCTCTTATGTGTGGAGTAGTCTCTGAACTTGGAAAATGATGGTTAAATTACCATAAAATATATTCCAGCCTGCATGTTGGTTAGAAGTTAAACCCTATTTATACTGTGGACACTATTTTTAAAAAAAATATATATAATTCATTTCAGAATGTGGTTAGTATGTTATTGTCTTATTGCATGACTTGAAATTGTGCATTTTCATTTGTTTGAAAAACCTGCAATTTTGCAATAAAGCCGCTTTTAACTGGTGTTAGATTACACATATTACTAATTACTAATATTCAATTGGATTTGCTGAATTATTTTTCTTAAATTTTTTAATATTTCTTCTTTAACATTAGCAAATATAGCATAGCTAAAAAGGAAGTTTCAGCAATGTTTCGTAAATAGGCAAGGACAGGATGTTGAGACTACACACACCCAATGTATAGAGAACTGAAATTGTTTTTGTTTTAAGTCTGGCAAGTTTTGTTTCCCGTTACCTAACATTGCCCTTGCCGAGTTTAATGTGTGTTTCATTTTTTTTTTTTTACTCATAATCAAAGAAAAAAAAATCATAACCCTGGACTGTTTCATTTTACCCTTTTGTATAAAAGGCAGGTGAACAATTGGTTCAGAACTTAAAGGGTTACTTCAACAATTATGACCCCTTCTGCTTTTTGAACCATAATGACTTCTTCTGGTTTTTTTTAAGTGGTCATGGTGGTAGGATTCTGGATGTGCAGTGTTAAGCTTGGAACACTGCACATCCAGCGTTAATTTTAATTTGCACCTGTTCCAGGCTGCCTAATGTCAATTTTTTGCATATTTTACGTCTGTCATCAGCGTGCACAGTCGGGGTATATGTAACAAACAGAGAATAGTCAAAAACAAACCAGATATGGGAATATAAGTAAACACACTGTACTGTAAGATCTGATTGAAAGAAATAATTTAATTCAAGTTACAACACAGTCAAAAAATATCATAAGACATAGTAGAGACTACCTTTTCTCATGGTAATGACTCAAGTTGACAAAAGGCGGTCAGGTTTTGTCACTTCCCCCAGCCATTTCTTTTGATCGCATTGCAAATATAATATCTATAGAGGTTCCTTTTGGCCTTGCAGGTTCCCCCACATTCATCAGTAGTGATGTGCCGAACGGTTTGCCGCGGACTCATCATTGAGTAAACTTTGACCCTGTACCTCACAGTCAGCAGACACATTCCAGCCAATCAGCAGCACACCCTCCCTTCCAGACCCCCCCACCTCCTGGACAGCTCACTAAGAATGCAGCTTCACAATGAATGTAAAATGGATGCTGTCCAGGAGGTGGGAGTGTCTGGAAGGGAGGGTCTGCTGCTGATTGGCTGGAATGTGTCTGCTGACTGTGAGGTACAGGGTCAACGTTTACTCAATGATGAGTCCGCGGCGAACCGTTCAGGGCATCACTACTCATCAGTAATGTACTCTCACACATGTTTCAGAGGACAGCGCTGATGTGGGCTCCTGGTAGATAAACTACCAGGACATGAAGATCGAAGATGGTGATGCTATGGGACAGCATCAGATAAGTTTAACTCACCTATGCTGCACTCCCAGCCACCGCACATTAAGTGGCGATGTCACCATTGTGGGTCATTGCAAACTATGGTTAAGACCCCAAAAAGTAAGAGCTGCTTTTTTTTTGTTTGTTGCAAAAAAACACAACAAGCATTTTATTCTGAGACTGGGTCACAACTTGTGCGTTAACTTTTGATGAGGTGTTTTGTGACATTTAACCATTATCCTGCAGAGTGTTGGTACATTCCAGGTGATATGCTTTATACCCTATTCCTCGTTGCCAATTTTATGTGAGCAATGCACCTTCAATATTGTCTGCTGTATCTGAGGGGCTGTCCTATAAGTAACATGCTGTCATTTAATTTTTTTTTTTTTTTATAATCTGCTGCAGCTATAAGTGGTTAGCCATTTAGATGTATTGCTCCACAGGACAGTCAATATTGCATGCCCTCTCCACATATACTGGTAACATACATACATAGACATGCAATCACACACAGTAACATACACAGGCACAAACATACAAACAAAAAGACACAGTCGCATACCTATAGTCATTTGCTCACACATGTTTTTACTGATTAACCCTACCTCTCCTGCCCATGAAACCTAACTGGATGTCAGCACCAGGGGAGAAGAGGAGGCTGCAGTTACAACAGACCCTGGTGTCTAATAATGAGTAAGCAAGAACTCCTTTTAGCTCACCCTCTGCAGTCAGCACTGTTAACAGGCATCAGGTGCTTGCATATAACTCCACAAGAAGCAGGTGCCTCCCTCCATCCTGATGACCTTGGCCTCGGCCAAAATGCATCCCTGGTTATAAGCTACTTGTGAGATTGGACAGAGTTGCGCCATCACCTAACGGAGCAGTTAAAATGAAACTTTAAATGCTGAAACCCTTATTGCAATGGTTATGGTGCAAGGAGACTGCTTTCAAACAGCTTTCAAAATGCCACCATAATCCCTCCACCGCCCTCTGATGTCATATTTGGGAACTTAATTCCCTCATTATGTGCACAAACCTCAATTGGCATGAGCACACATTGGATTCTCTTACATTAGGATTTGACCACGGCAAATCTCTGCTGTCCTTACGGCTCTCCAAAATTACTGTTTCCCAGTCGAGGCTTTCTATTGCTGTCCAATAACCAACTTGATAACTGAATTAGCATTTATGTGCATTGATGTCAGGGACTCTCACACTTATGTCTAGCTCCCACATCACTGATTGATTTCTGAGACACCGTCGGGCCCTGCTCCCTTACCATGTGTATACCCATCACTTTCCCCCTGGAGATTGGCAGGTTTAGACCTCTCATGTAGAAAATTAGCAAAGATTGCATGCCTTTCCAAAAGCCTGGTTCTGATGTGCACAAAAAGGCACTAGGTCTTTTATACTGTGAGCAAATTCATCTCATACTGATGAGTTGGACAGTGTGGGTAGGCACAGATTAACGTCCTCAATATAAACTCTTTAAAATAAGAGAACCCATAGTATAGTTTATACACTACTACATTTCAGGTATTCATGAGCCTGGCTTGCTTTCTCTGCTTGTGAACATCCACCACCTGTTCCATCTCTGGTAAACTATTACTCGTTTGTATTTACCCTGGTACATTATTACTGATTTTCTTGCACGCCTACCGCCAGGTTTACCCAGTATTCCGAAGGTATTGTGCTAGGCCCCTTTCACATGCTGAGATCTAAAACACAAAGGCTGTTTGGACTATGTGGGACAATAGGCATGAGGATCGATGGCTTAAATTCAACATATGAAGTCTGTCTGGAAGGTATCCAGCCATGTAATATGAAAAATAGAGACATTTACTGAAGAAGATATAATACACATTGTACATAGGATAATGACTCCTCAGTCTCCTTCAAAGTAGGCAACTTGGGACCTCACACAGTTCTCCCAGCGTCTCTTCCACTGTTCAAAACACTCTACAAACTCCTTTGCTGGAATTGCCATCAGCTGCCTTGTTGTATTTACCTGAATCTCATCAATGGTCTGAAAGCTCTTCCCTTTCATAGGTGGTTTTAGTTTTGGGAAAAGCCAGGCTATTCAACAGATTCTTGACCATCTATGAAGCGTTTGTGCCACTCCTTGCATCATCCCTGAAAGCCTTCTGAATCTTCCGAAATGTTTAGCTTAAAGCAATTTTTGATGCAGATTTGTTGCTCTACTCAGTCAGTCATTTTGAATGCGACGGTCACACAGTACACTTGCAGCCACTGACTAGTACAGTGAAGTCGTCATTGTTCACGCCTGTGCATTCCAGTCCACTCTCCTTGGCTGCCAGGTTACATCGATGTCGCGCAAACTGTTCTCGCAATATTAACAATGGCTGGTCTTTTAACGGACGGACCGGGTATGTTAATGGAGTGTCTTTACAGAGTGACGCTCTCTCCGAAACAAAGGGAGCTTCTCTGACATTACTGTTAGTTAGCTCACCCTGTAAACGAAGTAAACCCTGTAAAGGTCCAGTGTTCTGGCCACCAGGGTCAGCGACATGCTTCACAGTGATCCGTGACACCTTTCGGCTAAGGGGATCTTCCGGTCTGGAACGGGATTGTCTGGGGCTAAAGAAGCTCTAAAGTTACATATATATATATATATATTTTAATTCACATTAATTGTTCTGTACATTATTTTAATGAAAAAAAAAAACAACCAAAAAACAAAACAACAAAAAAAAAAGGGGTCCCTCTCAGTCTGGGGTGTCTCTGTAAAATAAGCAGCTGACCTACAACTACCAGAAACCCTTTTTATTGGGCACCTGGGATTATTCCTGGGATCAGAAGTGAGCACTATTTACACAGAGTGCCAGGCAGCCATTGTGTCCCAGTCTGACCCAGCACAGGCAGAGTTAATCGAACCCGGAGCACTATTTGCCAGCCGCCTGTTGGGAGAGCAGGGCGTGGGAGGGGTCGGTATCGGTGACGTCACGCGGTGGGCGGTCCTGTCAGCTCCCCTCCCCCAGTCGGATAGAGCTGCTCGGGAGACCGGGAGCTTCCGCTTTCCCCTGGAGCCCGAAGGGGGATAGAGCGCGCCCGCCCAGAGGACACTGCCAGCCCGACGGCTCAATGTGTGTTTGCTGACCCTCTCCCGGACCATGGGAATGCTGAGGCTCGTTTTCCTGCTTTCCTGGGCGGCCAGTTCAGGAGGTGAGAGCGGGGGATCAGAGGGAGGGAGGGGTGACAGTATACACAGCGCCTCCATGTACACTGACAGTATACACAGCGCCTCCATGTACACTGACAGTATACACAGCGCCTCCATGTACACTGACAGTATACACAGCGCCTCCATGTACACTGACAGTATACACAGCGCCTCCATGTACACTGACAGTGTGCCCTGCCAGCACCCTCCACCTCCATACAGTCATAGTGTGCTGGGTGCATGCAGGGCACATGGCCAGACCCAGCCTGCTGATGGTACCAGCCAGCTGTGTGCTCAGTGCTGATGGTACCAGCCAGCTGTGTGCTCAGTGCTGATGGTACCAGCCAGCTGTGTGCTCAGTGCTGATGGTACCAGCCAGCTGTGTGCTCAGTGCTGATGGTAGCAGCCAGCTGTGTGCTCAGTGCTGATGGTAGCAGCCAGCTGTGTGCTCAGTGCTGATGGTAGCAGCCAGCTGTGTGCTCAGTGCTGATGGTAGCAGCCAGCTGTGTGCTCAGTGCTGATGGTAGCAGCCAGCTGTGTGCTCAGTGCTGATGGTGCAGTGCTGATGGTACCAGCCAGCTGTGTGCTCAGTGCTGTGCTGATATCCTCAGCCAGCTGTGTGCTCAGTGCTGTGCTGATATCCCCAGCTAGCTGTGTGCTCAGTGCTGTGCTGATAGCTAGCTGTGTGCTCAGTGCTGTGCTGATTTCCCCAGCTAGCTGTGTGCTCAGTGCTGTGCTGATTTCCCCAGCTAGCTGTGTGCTCAGTGCTGTGCTGATTTCCCCAGCTAGCTGTGTGCTCAGTGCTGTGCTGATTTCCCCAGCTAGCTGTGTGCTCAGTACTGTGCTGATTTCCCCAGCTAGCTGTGTGCTCAGTGCTGTGCTGATTTCCCCAGCTAGCTGTGTGCTCAGTGCTGTGCTGATTTCCCCAGCTAGCTGTGTGCTCAGAGCTGTGCTGATATCCCCAGCTAGCTGTGTGCTCGGTGTTGATGGTACCAGCTAGCTGTGTGCTCGGTGTTGATGGTACCAGCTAGCTGTGTGCTCGGTGTTGATGGTACCAGCTAGCTGTGTGCTCGGTGTTGATGGTACCAGCTAGCTGTGTTGATGGTACCAGCCAGCGGTGTTGATGGTACCAGCCAGCTGTGTGCTCGGTGTTGATGGTACCAGCCAGCTGTGTGCTCGGTGGTGTGCTGATGGGACCCCAACTAGCTGTGTGTTCAGTGTTTTGCTGATGGTGCTCCCAGATATGTGCTCAGTGCTGTGCCATTGGCAGGTCTTTGTTTACATGTGGCATGTGCACTTTCTTTCACTGTGTTGCAGATCTCCTCAGCCAGTGACATGGTTTAGCATCTAATCCAATAATCTGAGGACTCTTCAGCTGTTCTAGAACTGCAACTCTCATGATTCTTTTTTTTTTTTTTACCCCCAACCTTTCAACTGACCGGTCATGGTGGTAGTTGTGGTTAAAGAATAGCTGGGGATTAACCAATTGATCATCCTTATTTTTGTAATTCCTCTACATGTCAGTCTGATTTTGGGCACTGTTTTCCTGTACTCATGATATCTTAACTTTCCTTTTGTTTTATATGTTTTAACAGTCTTGTACCTGGATTATTCTATTTAAATGGAGACTTGTTAGGTAAATGTGAATGGCCTCAGGCTGGCCCAGCCTTGTTTTATTGACTATTATTTCCTGTACATTCCAATGTATTGAGACTGAGTATATCATACAGTTCATGCCGTCTCTCTCATTGTGGCCCTTTTATGGTGTTTGATGTCATCCAGTGTGTTTTGTAGCTAAATTCTAAACTGTATCATTATATATAAACACAACAGAACTGAACCAAACTGACCGCAGGGGTTGTCTTTATTTCTTTATAAACACTCTGTTTCCTAAGGGTTGAGAAATCACCCATTCTGTGCTATCTGCCAGTGAGTTTCTGCTATTTGGTGGATGTTTGCCCCTAATAAGCTTCATGTGTGTCACAAGAGGACAACCTGCTTTTTTAGTACAGGAGAGCATTTGCTTCAGACTTCCCAGCACCCTCCTCTGTAGGTGGTTGTAGGGGAGAATAAAGGAAGATGGAGGGTATAGGCGTTGCAAGCCCTGAAGCCAGTGGATCTGCTGGATCTGTTGTGTTTTTGTTGCTGTTTTTTTGTTGTTGTTTTTTTTTTCTCTCCTCCCTCTCATCTTTTACAGTCACAAGAGAGCTGAGAGCATGTTTTAACCCTTCCATGTCCCTTTAAAAGGATAATACTGCAGGCAAGAGGTTATTCAAAATGTCTGGCAAGTATTCATTTGCGAGTGGAGAACACTTTGTAGATTTAGGGGTAAAATAACACTAAATTAGTCATTGTTTCCAGTTGGCTAATACACTGATTAAGGAAGAGAGCAGTGCGCTAAGGGGGGCTAGTGTCTAATTTAAGTGTGTTTACAAGGCGAGAATGTATGCAGTGCTTCACTGATTTGCAAGGGGTAATGAAGAGATTCTGGTGTGTTTTGCATTTGACAACAAGGCAGCGCTTACATCAAAGACTGGCTCATTGCTGTCTAATGCTGGATAAGTCTGTCATTTTCCAGCCCACTTGTGCTGCAGTCTGGTTATATCCAACCAGCCTGTGTAATGATGTCATTCTTTATTTTTTTTATATGTGCAAATAACAGATCTATCTATCTATATATACAGTGTGCCCTGTGTGTGTGTGTGTGCGTGTGCGTGTGCGTGTGCGTGTGCGTGTGCGTGTGCGTGTGCGTGTGCGTGTGCGTGTGCGTGTGCGTGTGCGTGTGTGTGTGTGTGTGTGTGTGTGTGTATATATATATTAAAAAAAACAACCTGGATCAAGGTATCCTTTATTGATTGCAGCAGTAAAATAATTTCAGTAGAATGAGTGGGATGCTAATTCTGGAGCACATGCTTGGAGGGTTGACTCAATATAAAATACTTGGTACATAGTAAATGGAGGACATGAAACTTACTTGTTTGTCAGGGCACTTCCTGCAATTGCTATGACTGTTACGGAATCTCAGTTTATTTTGACATAACTTCCTTTTGCTCTTGGTATTTTATTTTTATGGTTTGGATACTTTTCAAGAATGTGAGTTTAGGTATTGTATATTGTTAGGGTTAGCTGTATACTGAGGATGTTACAATGCAAATCTATAATGGGTAACTTCAAGCATTATATACACTACAACCTGCCATAGTGGATATGATGTGAGGAATACCTTGAGCCCTTTACCCGGTATTGGGGCAAACAGTTTTGTTCTTTTGGTTGTGTCCCACTGGGTGCGGAGTCTCCTGTCTTTCAGGGTGATATGTATCCAGCTTCTGCAGAGCTGCTGAAAATAATTTGCCAATTCTGTCTGCCATTCATCGGCTGAGTGTGTCAGCTGTTCGATCAAAACCAATCAATGACCCTGTGTGCATAGAAATATGCACATAATTGACGTTGGCCAGATCTGAAATCTTGTTCCTGGCTGGCTAATCACGCCCCAGTAACACTGCCGGAGGTGAAGCATATTGGTTAAATGAAGTGGGCTCCTAAAAAGCTGCCTACACAGTCAACATTTGTCAAATATTGAATGGTTATTCCCTAAAGTGAGAATTTTTGTGATTTCAAATTTAAAGTCAAAGTGGCAATTCTCACCTTGGTGAATAGCCGGTTTGTATTTTCTTTCCTTATAGAGCTTCTTGCAAAGTTGATTTCCAGGTGTCTGAGGCTAAAAAACATCTAGGGCAAAGGTGCCCAAAAGGTAGATCCCCAGATGTTTTAAAACTACAATTTCCATGATGCCTTGTCATTTCAAAGCCTCACGGAAGTTGTAGTTCTACAACATCTGGGGATCTACCTTTTGGATACACCTAATATAGGGTAATTCTTCAACACTTATGTGTCTAGAAACATAGAATGTGACGGCAGATAACCATTTGGCCCATCTAGTCTGCTCAATTTTTTTAAAATACTTTCATTAGTCCCTGGTCTTATTTTATAGCTAGCATAGCCTAATGCCAGTGATGGCTAACCTTCACACCATAAATTGTTTCTAGACTACATTTCCTTTGATGCTCAGCTAGCTTTTAAAG